CAGAGATTAACTCCCTAAGTTCTGTCACTCAAGTATTAATAAGACAGCTTCCCTTTGACATTTGTCACCTTTGACGAAATCAATATTGATAGATGCAACCTGCACTGAATCTACGGCAAACTTGATGCCAATGTTCATTTTCATGATAAATGATCTCCACATACAGAAGAGACCCAAACAGCACAACCCACAAATGCTAATACAGCTAATTATAGTATACTTATACTAGCTCAATATTTTCTATAATATATGATTGCACCTTAACCTGATTGTCACTATACTGGATTCTGCGACAGAACAGATCACTCCAGTGACATGCTCATCGTAACTGCCAGGTAACTATTGGATGGTACGACTATGAATCTTAGTTGATTGCAAATCACCATACCTTGAAGACCTGGTTGTGTCTCTTGCCGGTTCACCTTTTACAGATTTTATCACGTGATTATATCTGGTTAACTGCATACATTATTTTTTTCACTATAGTATATAATGTATTTTTATCAGATTAGCTGTTCACCTGATGATACAAAAACAATGACATAGCATAAAAGTGCTGATGCATGTGGCTGAATGTTCAATCCAATTATTGATTAAACAGTATTCAGTTATTAATAAAATTATCATAAAATCGAATATAATACTAACAGCAAAAATGCCTTACAACTCCTTTCTACAATAAACAAGTGGCTGTCAAGGCCTGATCATGCTGATGGCAGCTATCTGAGATCAATACTATCACATGAAACTCTCCTGTACATTTAGCTAGAAATGGCCATCGACTGTTTACACATTTTCTACTTACTCATTATTCAGGTAAAATACACCCAATTAACTCAAAATAGTCTAAATGCCTTTAAAGAGAAACTAAATACAAGTATGTATTTTGTTTGTACCAGGAATAATGTTGATCATCATAATGGACATATTTATCAAAGTGTTAGCAATCCAGTAAACTTAGTATCCTGAAACTATAAATATACAAATGAGGACATCTTATAAGAACTATTTTTAAAAAGCTTTTTACAAAAATGTGATGCATATTTGCTGAAGAAACTTAAACCCAAAAGTTAATCCTTGTTTCCTGAAACAAATATAGCTGCAAGTCATTTGGCACAATATAATTTAATTGGATAGTTTACTCAGATTTTGTATTCCTATGCTATTTCTGAACTTACACATCCATTTTGAAGAATGACATTATTGTGATCAAGGGATTATTACCTGGGTGTGTTTCCATAATGTATATATATCCAGCATTGACATGATAAGGAATAAAATGCATTATTAACCTGTATGCTAATAATTATGATACAATATGATACAAGGCTTCGCAATCTGACCACCAGTTCAAATGATTTTACCAAAATTGTTAACAATATTGAATGAACTTATCAAATAACATTACCTACATTACTAAAGAGTTAAAAGAAAGCCACACATACACTAACAACTAAAGCAATCTAGACTTGCTAGGGGTTTCTTTGTTTCTGAGTCTGTTCAAGAGGCTAACACAGGGCATGCTCATTGTCCTCCCCCAAATGTCAAGATGCAAACCCGTACAAAAAGAAATGAGTAAGAAGCTGACAAAGGACTGCCTCATATAAAACATCACATCAATTTGTGTGTAGTGCCTTAGCTGTAATGATGTTCAATTTCTTTCATCACAGAATATTTTAACACTTTCCATCATCAAAATATAACATCAACTGGCTAGTGTTTCATCTTATCTCCATAACATGAAGACCTCTTGTGTTCACATTAAACAATGTCTGGCAACATTCATTACTTCATCATGGTCATGACTCATGGTCACATATCTATCATAACTTTCCAACAATGTGTGGCGGGACTGTTGCATGGAACAGAGCTGGAATGATACACTCAAGTATATATGCATCACCATATTTCACAACAAATTTCATTGAGTTGTAACAACATAAAAGTAAGTGAATGGTGTCAAATGCCACATTCAGACATTTAACTTGCAATGGGACATCAACATTGATGAAATGTTTGCAAGGTAATAAAATACCATCAGCATACATTTCATTTTCCTTACAAATTTGAGAGGTACTTCCTGCATCTGTCCATAGTCATAATGATGTGAGTTGTACAGTAATCAATACCAAATGTACTTGTCATTGGGTAAATTACCCTTGTGCTGTTTCAGATGTAGAAATGATCAGTTTAAGAGAAGAGAGTACATGTATACCAAATGGAAAGGTGAGGCGACAATACCATGACATGAGGAGGTTTAACTTCACATTTCAGTCTACTGGACTTCTAATCTGTGCTTGTCTCTGTGTGAGTAGTACTTGTACTAGTTTGCTGTTTGATAGTGCAGGCTCACAGTGATACAGAAGACTGACTCCAAGTCAAGCAACCCGTGAAGAACCGGGTTAGAATTGGTCTACAGAAACCAATGCTTGTCTCCCCTGTGAAGATCTGGGTTAGAATTGGTCTTCAGTGACCCATGCTTGTCTCTCCTGTGAAGATCTGGGTTAGAATTGGTCTACAGAAACCAATGCTTGTCTCCCCTGTGAAGATCTGGGTTAGAATTGGTCTTCAGTGACCCATGCTTGTCTCCCCTGTGAAGATCCGGGTATGAATTGGTCTTCAGTAACCCATGCTTGTCATAAGAGGCAACTAACAGGTTCTGGTGGTCAGACTCGGTGACTTGGTTGACACGTCATCGAATCCAAATTGCATAGAACTATGCTTGTGATGTTGATCACCGGATTGTCTGGTCCAAACTCGATTATCTACAGACCGCAGCCATACAGCTGGAATATTGCTGAGTGCGACATTAAACAACCAAGCAACCAACCTAGCCAAGCAGTCCTGGCTTTCTCCCATTACTACTGAGCACAGGGCAGTGTAACATCAAGTACCACTGTTTCTCATCATATGCTATGATGAAGCAGGGCAGCAAACCAGTGACCTTCTTCTATCCTCCTCTCTAAGATAAGCCACTGAAGCTGTCAGAGTGGTACTCATATCCAAGTGATGAGATTCTTCCCTTTCTTTGGTTGTAAAGACGCAAAGTCAAAAGTTAAGAGTAATGTCAAAGTAGGTGCTCCAAGGGTTTTTTCACTGTGTGATTACTGTTTTAAAATCAGGATTTGTTAAAAGACACCAGGACCAGTTATAAACTGTTCATCTGTTAAACAAAAAGAATTAGCTGACACAATGAAATAGCAAATTTTGCAATCCACTGAAATTGTTCACCAACACCCTGTACAGATACTGGTGTGGTAGTGAACACATACTCATGGAATATATGTTCACATTCACATGTATATATTGTACCATTGTGAAGGTGGTCTTTGGAATGTCTGTCAACAACTATACTTACTGTTATCCCCAAACATCTGTGAATACACAATGCTGTTTAGAAGGTGGTTAAATGCAACATATGTCATTTTTGGGATTATTCTTTCTCAGTAAACTACAGATTCTTGTACTTTTTGGGGTCGACACAAACACACACAAAGGCACCCAACCACAGAACACAAAGTCACCAATCTAACCCACTCAGACATCACAGCTGAGAAAGCTTTCTACCTTCCAAATTACATTGATAATACCCTTTGCAATTTCAGAATGTACACGTTAATTGCATAAATCATACTGTTCACGGACCATTCTCATCAAAGCTTTATTTAGAAACAAAGGTTTTTCATGCAAAAAAATACAATTAATATTGAAATGTTAAGTGTCCCTCATAAATTAAATAAATGCAATTCGGGCATCAGGAAGTTCTTTCAACTGTGCCATTATAACTACTTCTACTGCGAGTTCTATAGAAGGTGTATCATACAATCCTTTAGCCTACTTAATGCACCAACTTGACTGAAATGTGAGGTATTGTATCACTTGGGTCAGGAGAGTCTATTACACTTGGACCTCATAACATATGGTATCAGTGTAACACTGGTCTATCTCTACATCCCTATGACTGGAAGCTTCACTTCATGGCTGAAATAATGCTGATGCGACATCAAATATATCATGCAAACATCAACTGGCTTGTTTATCATTGTTATATATATGGTGTATCAATATGACAAACAATTTCTATAAAACATAGAAGCCGTAATATGAATACAAACACTCATTTAGTCACTATTATACATTTACACATCAAAATTGACACCTAACTTACCTATATAAACATACAAAACATGCTTAACGTTTTCAACTGGAAATGAGAACTGTCAGATTATTGCAACTGAGATGTTTACCTACTATCTCTGCAGAAAATATGAGGCAAGTTGTCAATAGAAAGCAAGCACCTAAATATGTAAACATAAAAAATTCCATTTACATCTAAAGCAGGAGCCATTGAATTTTTTTCATCAATAACATGCATATATTCAACTTGAACAAGAATTTACTGTACGAAATACACAGTTGATACACAATACACATTCCATCAAACTGGCTCTGACACACCCCCTTGTTCCACTTGAAAGTCACACAACCATCAACCATCAATGCAAACACGGCAAATTAAGGCTCGAATTATAAATATGTTCAACATACTGAAATCGACTGACAGTGAAATAAAATTTGGTGTAAATGGAGATTTATTAAATACATATGCATTATAAAACAATATGTACAACAAACGCTACTTGCTACTTCCTATTTCGTTTGACAGCTAAGCGTGACATTTCTGACAGTTCCGAGTGGTGTGACTCTTCTGTGCAGCCCATATATTTCATTATTTCAATGTGACATGCCATGATGGTGATGCTAAACAAGATGCAGGTAGTATAAAGTAATCAGTGGTTTGCCCTTGCCACCACCCATCCGAGATGCCAGTATGTGCAATACATGGCCTAGTGAGGTGGCAGGGATCCTCCTCCCCTTGGCTTCTGGCCGGACACGCACCTGCCGCACACCCCCTTTTTCGGCATTACTAATGTAGACACTCATGGTAATTAATTTGTGCTTCCATATGAAATTATGGACAATGAAAAAGATATACTCACAATCAAGATGCTTTTTCTTTGGTCCAATGATTTCTTCTGTCGTGGCTTTGCAGACGGATTTTGCCAACCCCTGACCGGCAATGCTATGCCTAGCCGCCTGAACGCGGTCCATGATGCTCTGGCCCGACATTGTTGCAATTGCACAGACAAAATCTGTCCAAAAGTATCAACAGGGCCAGGTGATTGACCCTTATTCCCGTGTAATGTTCTTGTGACACCTTGCTAATAAATATTGGGGGTGGTAATCTCTCCTTGTTCCCAAGATGGCGGAAGAGGGCTGTATTTTCATGTATCACGTGATCAGGAGCATTCATTGTTTTTGATTGAAAATGAAGTAATCATAATTCACATGACATGGTTTGTTTTGTAACTGTAATTTGAACTCCATTTCCTTTACATGTCTTAATAACCAGACTATTTATGTGTAGTCACTTTGTGATAATCATCCGTCATTTCATAAACATGTTTTGTTTTATAGTTTTCACTCTGTAGGTGAAAAGCACATGTCATGCTCTCTAAGGAAAAAAAACCCCATGCCATAAAATGTATAATTCACACATCTTTCAGTCACATCGGTAAGGGGTGTTTGAAGAGAATTAGAAATATGTTTTAATGACTGCTTCTATATGAACTTTGACTTGATGTGTTAATTCTGGTGACATCGATGCCGTTTGACGCCAGCTCTTACTCTCAGTAATTACTCTGTCACACTCTGGGGGCGGTGGGGTAGCCTAGTGGTTAAAGCGTTGGCTCGTCACGCCGAGGACCCGGGTTCGAATCCCCACATGGGTACGTTGTGTGAAGCCCATTTGTGGTGTCCCCCGCCATGATATTGCTGGAATATTGCTAAAAGCGGCGTAAAACCAAACTCACTCACTCACTCACTGTCACACTCTGTGTCTCTCTCTCCTACCTGGTATACACTTAACATCTCAACGACTTCATCTTAAGTGGCATAATTTTCAAACATTTACATTGCATGTAGATGTGGGACACCGTTTATCCAACCGGCCTATAATTGTATGTTTATGTTTTTATTGTAATGATAAAAAAAAAATCGTGATTTTTTTGCTGAAAGTGCACAAAGTTCGCGACGTGAGCGCCTGCACTGACCTACATGTACAAGAGGCTACAGGAAGGAAGTGGAGCGATGGCGAGAGATAGGGCTATTTCAGATGAGGTCAAGAATGGTCTGGCGGCATACCCTGTTAATAGCGCCTTGTTGAGGAACCCATTCACGCAGTATTCATGTTTTATATACAACACAAGAAAACAACACGAATTATTATGGCGTGATGTCCTAATGTATATGAAAAGTGACAAAAGCTGGAATATCAGGTATCTCTGTTAAAGATCTGTAAACAGAATAAGAGTTCGAGTCATGATGTTTAAACCGTTTTTGTCATATCAGGGCACATCATCATCATCATCATCATCATCATCATCATCATCATCATACCGCGAGGGGGAACCAGTTGACGCCACGGCGAACATCGTCATAATTGTTCCGATGACAGCCTGGTAAAGAGTTGTTTGTCCGTGTGAATGTTTAAAGTACCCTGGCAGAAGACACTTCGGCGTACAATGATTTAGTACAATATGGTCACAGCTGAAAACATATTCTTCCTGAATTGATATATACTTGAATAATGAACATCATATATAAAAAGACTGTTATGTTTGGAGAGTGAGTGAGTAAATTTGGTTTTACGCCGCTTTTAGCACTATGACAGCAATTCCACGGCGGGGGACACCAGAAATGGGCTCCACACATTCTGCCCATGTGGGGAATCGAACCCGGGTCTTCGGCATGACGAACGAACGCTTTAACCACTAGGCTACCCCGCCGCCGCCTCTCTCTCTCTCTAAATGCGTAAATGCGCGTGTCGTTATCTCGACACAAACGGAATTGCCATTTTTCTAATTAACCTTATTTATTAAAAGCTAGTTAGATGCTGACTTTTATATGTTGTTTAATACCGCAATATTCCAGTTATGTGACGAGTCGACTTTGGACCAGACAAACCAGTGACTGATATTTAGGAGCGATCCACGATGTCAGGATACGATGAAACCGAGCCCGGCCATCAGTTCAGAGAAATCGCTTTTTGCAAGAAGTATACGGGTTTATGCAGTTTGTAACGAGAGGTTCTGTAATGAGAGAACCTTTTCGAGGGGCTGAAACAATGTGTCACAATCCCATGTCAACATCTCTGTATTACATCAACAATGATTCTGAGTGCGTACACATATTTTGATTGTTATGAAAATTCAAACTCGTCTCCACTATGAAATAGAGTTTTATGTTGCAAATGAGGTATGTATTGAACGGTACATTTGGAATTGATGACGGGATTGTCGCTGACTGACAGTAATCGTGACTTAACATCTGGTTATAACGAACATTACCGCCCTCGTCGACCGGATTTAGACCTAACAATGTAATCAGCTTTTCGTGAATGGGTGTCAGGGACACTGAATGGGATTTTGCCACTTATCAAGCAATATTTCAGCTAAATGTCCATTTCCTGCTCAAGTGCCGAAATTATATCCGGTTCCTTACTATTCACAAACATTTCCCTTTTCTTTCACGGATCAAGGGCAAATAACTCAATCCCAGCTTCGAACCTGTATTTCTGAGGCTGTCAAACTCCTTTTTGAACAACTTATTCGTGGATACATGTCTGGAGGGTACTTGGGTTTTAGCAGTACTGTGCGTGGGACCAAAATAAAATCCCAGATTAAACATTTATACTACATTATAGCGAAATCAAGTCTCCATATATTTAAATATTTCCATAATAATTTCAGAATAGATTAAACTTCACATAGCAATCTATAATGACGGAAATATATGTCCTGTAACATTTGTCGTCTATCATCGACATTTTGTCCTTGTGGAATTAATTTTTACATTTGTTTTCGAGACTTCTGCTGATAAATATTTGTGACACAACCTGGAAGCAAAAGAGACAAATTAGGTAGAATTTGGAATGAGGGACGGGGATGGAGTAGAGTAGGCCCAGTGCCTTCATTTGTTCGGCCAAGGGAACCATCGTTTAAAAGGAACCACATGGATGCGTTGTTCCTGTATTTTGTTTGTTTGTAGTTGAACGCCGCACTCAACAATCTTCATCATCATCATCATTGGATATTTATATAGCGCACATATCCACGCACTAGTGCATGCTGACGGCGCGGGTACTTTTTCCCTCGATCATTGGATGTCAATCTCAACGGCACATCTTAGTATCAATCTCAACTCCCTGGGGATCATACAACTCTTGATGCCACAAGGCGCACTGTGTTATTGCGGCGTTCCCATCCTTACCAGGTACCCATTCACAGCTGGGTGGACTGGGACACATAGTCACAGTACTTTGTCCAAGTTTACTACACGTTGCTGTACCCGCAACTAGGTGTTTGCACGTATTCATGTGGCCACCATCTAGTCATGTACCAACGGATTCGTGGGTTCTTTTAAGCGCACAGGGTAGTGTACTGTACAATAGGGGTTGTGACAACACTGAAAGAGTCTGCACACAAAGTTGACCCCACGCTTTTTACACCCTGTCACAGGTGGGCTCGATCCCGGCACCTCATGCCCGCTGGATCACTAGCCTGGCGCCTTAGCCAGCTTGCCACCACGCCCCTTCCTGCCATAACGTGGGTGTTTCGATTCATTGATCACGTCATACCAAACCACGTGAAAGGTGGTACTTGTTGTTACCCTGCACGACGCCCGGCAAATGAGGGCTTACCACAAAGCGTATAGTCGGCTCGGCTGGTTGGTTGGGTGTTGTCGTTAACATCGCAGTGGGAAATTGCGAACATTTAGAACTCGGGACTTTCATTACCAGGTATTACTTAGATTTTACTTATTCCCACCCAGGTTTGACTATTCCCACGGTGACCTTATTCCCGGTCGTGAACCTTTACGTCATGTCCTTGAACACGCGAACAAGTGAACGCAGTGGTTACATAGTGTTTGTTCGACCTCACCCGTTATCATTGTCGGGTCTACAGGATCGCGTTATCTTATTTACATCCACACGACCCAGTACAGATATCACACACGCCCCTGATATCGCATAACTGATATGATCTCATATATCATTGACAGATTATACAAGGGGCAACTCTGACCTATATAAGCATATCAGTAATAAATCATGCATATATGTTTCGAATCGAATTTGGTCCTCTAATTAGACTATACACAAAAGGCCCGAAATAGTAGTGTGCGCGCGCACTGATTCAGAATCTCAAATATAATGTTGATTCTTCATTCGTGTTGTGTTGCATCTCTCCCTCTTTCATAATCTAATTATCCAATTTATGTAATACTATTTCTAACTGTGGGCATTACAAGCACATTGCAGATGTCAATAAACCGTTATGTGACAGTGTTACTATATATAGATATTACAGTCACACACTGTCACGCTGTAGGTAGATGTACTCTCCTTCTGGAATGTTGTTTTACGCCGCACTCGGCCCCATTATTGAAGCAGTACCACGTCGGGTATAAATATTTGAGTCTTGACCAGATGATCCAGTTAGATTGTTTACAGCGGGCCCCGCCATCGTGGTGCAATGACATACGGTCAACCGCCTCACAGAGCCTGACCACCTGATACACTCGGCTCTACTGACAACCTGTTCTGTGTTATTCTGTGTTTACCGTCCAGCGCCGGCCATGAATGTTCAGTTCGACGTGAAATATTATAAGCTTTCTTATTGTAATATACTCTCCCCAAAAAGAAACGCATATAGGAATTTCAACTGTATTTTTATGTTTATTTTGAAACATCTTGCAGGCTTTATGAGTCAATGAAATATAGCGAAATTGCACACTGGGAATGCAGACCTCTCCGTCTTTGGCACCAACTCGAGGAAAGTCAGTTTGAGTGTCACACGGAGACGAGTGGTGGCGCTGAAGTCCATACCTCGTGTGACCACCGTGGGCATCCAGAACTGCACGGCATCGCCTCGGCATCGAACGAATAAGTCTCAGAATCTCGTGTTGCCCAATCGCAGCCCACTCGCCTGTAGTGCCTGTGCGAGTTGCTGAAGTGTATGGGGCTGAGGGTTACGGCGTCGCACCCGTCTGTCCAGGGCATCCCACAGATGTTCGATCGGGTTTAAGTCCGGTGATCTTGAGGGCCAGGGGAGCACATTGATGTTGTGGTTCTGGAGGAAGTCTCTAGTGTGACGTGCTGTATGGGGCCTGAGGCAGGTGAGGTACCCGGATGTAGCGATCCTGGGCCGCAGTGGTCGCT